AAGGAGTGTTCTGCAGTAGCAATCGTCTTGGCAACCCCTGCTCACAGCTATCGTGGATTCAGACCACGAGAAAAATTAGTTGACTCCATTCGCTCTTCATAGCAGTTTTCATGAAGTTATACACAGGGAAGTGACGATCCTATAATAGGAAACAACAAAACTGTTTAGAAACTCACATAGAACTTGCGATAACTTCACGGTCTGTGTGGGAGTGAGCACCTTTATTTTCCTCAGATAATCCATCAAAAATCCCCAAACTAGTTTCGATGTCAGATTACAGATGTGCGGAAGTGCTGTATAGAAGCCGTTCTGGAAAAGATATCACAGTTTGCTGGGAATTTGGATTGATGGTTCACTTAGACCATGACCTTGGCTTATAACAACATTGAACTTTGGGGACATGAGAGCAATGGAAGTGGGTACATGAGCAGGTCGATTGATAGGGTGGGGCTAAGCACGGTACTTCAAAGACATCGTGACTGTGGCCTCCTTGGAAACGCTAGTAGCGTGAACAGGGACCAATGGAGCGGGACGCCAGAGTGCTCAGAAAGAGGACTACGTTGGAGAATTTTTGGCTGGGCTGTATTTCGTCGGTCGAGGAGGGCATCGTATTTGGTTGGCGAGAAGAAGGGAGTAACAATGGGCCTAGGAAAAAAATGCCCTTCTTTGAGAGTTGACTTCTACTGCTTTACACGCGCGTTATTTTCCTAGGTAAGAGAGTTCCAATGAGACGGGGGCGGGGGGGGGAGGTCATGTTTGCACGTCGGTGAGATTGTGGAGGGGAGTCCTATTTCTCTTCGACGTCTTTGAAAGGAATTCCTCAAAACCTGAACAATTTTTGCTGTGCTGTTGACCTTCCGCGCTTTCTGCCGTTACAAGTGTACTGTATACCTGTACCCTTACTGGCAGAATTGCTGGTCTTCACAATCACAACACCTGCGGGAAGTGAGCGAGGTGGCATCTATGTAGGATGGGGAAGAGGGTCGCACTAAGAAGGAAATATGAGGCAAGAAGTCGTATTCTCTAAAACCTTTCTTTACAGCACGAATTACTCCACCCACAGTTAGCCAGGACAATATAAACAGCCCTAAATTGAGGGCGCCCGCGTTCATTTGTTGTTCCCACGCCCTCTTTGGATATCGTAGCTCACCCTATGAGGATGGTGGACGTACTAGTTTCGCAACTCAAAAATGCGAGAGAATAGCGGCGCCCGCTCGTGAAGAGTCGGCCACCCCGCCCACCTGGCGACCACTACGCCCAACTTCATTTCTTGCCTGATGGTGCGGTTGTTCTGCTACTAACTCTCTCCACTAATGGTGAGAGTGAGGTGATAAGGGAAAACAGCTGATACCAACAAGTGAGAACTCGTGCGGCCGCGCCTTCTCTTCGCCTTGAACACGTACAACCTCAGCTCGGCGTGGGGGTCCTATATAAGGGCATATCCGATGATTTTTTGCATTTTTCTTCACTAGTGAACTACTTGCTACCTTGTTGTCACTGTCTAAGCCCCATAACTCATCAAAATGAACGCGGGCGCTGCCTTTATGGGCCGGCGTTCCTGACACACTCTCGAGTTCCAAAGCTGGCATGAAGTCTACAGTTACATCTCTCCTTACCTACCCACCTCATGCATGGAATGGGTTGCAACTCGCAGACAATCAGGATAGAGTCTTCAAGGTATCATTTTGAGGGTATATAAATGACTGATTCCATCGGATCAGTCCATAATGAGAATGTAAAAGGTTAGGGTATAAAGTCTCCGCTGCTGATGCACCCTCTGGGATGCGGCATGTACTCGACTTCCACTCAGAACCGTAGTGGCTTATTAAGGGCTTATGTGGTACAAGTCAATGTTCTTCTTAAATGAACATGGTACCAATTCGCCGTACTCGGGAGGTAGAACGCTTGGTTGGCCTGAGCGGGAGCCGATCGCCCGAACCGCGGTAAGGCTGCGTTCATACCCTTCAGGCGTCCACCAGCGACCATCAGCCTCTCGAGGGACCAGAAAAGTATGGATATCGAACTAACGTCTACCGGCGCCTACCAGCGGCTATAAGTAGAGAGTATGGGGACAAATGAGGAAGCAGGCAGCTCGATGAGGCGTTCTGGAATTGTGGCTTGGGCAACCTCACCGTACTACTGCATAATACCGAACTCCTGGTCGCTGGCAGACGTTGGTGGACACTGGTAACGCTAGATCGATATCTACACTTTGCTAGTCGCTGACGGGCGCTCGAAACGCTAATGGTCGCTGGTGAACGCTGCCGCAAAGTATGAACGCAGCCAAGCGTGCCGCTTGCTACTACATCGGCTCCGCCTCAGTACAGTAATCAGAAGCCCAATCACTCACCTGCTTCACTTCAAGAAACAGAACATCCTTGAAATAGACGGGTATATATACGAGTATCATGGCGATCATCATATTTACTACGATGCCCGAATAGAAAACGACAAGCAGTGGAGCTGAGCGAGCCATCGCAAGCCATGGAATCACCTGAATATCTTGTATGCAGACAGCGGAAAATCACAATCAGCTTGACAGTTTTCTATGTGGGGCCCACGTATAGAAGACAAATATATACTTATACCTTTTTCTCAGTTTTGACGTGTTTCTTCGGTAAATGATGCTGCAGGTATTTCACTTCGTGATCGCTTATCCATTTGGAATTAGCTGGCGAATTATTCACAGTAAAATACCATACCACACACCAGAGATAACCAAGCAATCCTGTAAGGTAATTGATACATGTGAGCTACACTGGCTACAACAGTTGATACGTACTAACGAGGTGGCCTTCACGGGCTCGCTAAATACAATGTGGTGCCCCCAACAAGCCGAAACGCGCCCTAAAGGCACGGTCCGTAGTAGAAGTTGAAAAAATATCGTCGGGAGTGTGGTCCACGACGAACAACGGCGTACCGGTTTCGCTGCAAAAATTGCAAGGGAGGGGTGCTATAGCGCAATGTAGGTTCAGTGACGCCTCCTTCTCTCCAGTGGCTCCGTCCTTCTGAGCCCGCCTTTCAGTGAAAAACGAAGCTGCCGGACGAAAGAGCATGAAAGTCGCACAGGTACGATTGCTGGGTTCTTATCGGGGGATCAGCTGGGCGGATGGAGGCGTAGGGTTGGATATGGAGTTAATTGGCACGTACAAACAGGGATCGAAATGGGGTTTATCTAGGGCAGTTGACATTTTTTTCCACTTTTTTCTTTACTATCGAGTTACTCAGCACCTTGTCGTCTATATGCAAACCCCTAAATTGCTATTACTGGATTTCGGACATTCAAAAACACCCAGCCATGAAAAGATGGGCATCTGCAGACACACGATGATTCCGTTGCCATGTTGTTTGTGTAACGCTGATTATTTACGAAAGACTTGCGCCCTATCTTAAAGGCGGTTGGCACGATCCCGCAAAACGAGTAGGCCTGGCAGGACGGAATTCCGCGACCCTGAGCAGGCGCTGCATAATGCCTTTTCCAAGGGAGGTGCCCTTATAAGGGCCCTATCAAGCCACAACATACCGACCCAAACGCCCGCCACGCCGCCCGCCCACAAATGGACGACGTTCCTGACGCTCTAATCGATTCATTTGCTAAGCAAATTATGAAGCGAAGGGATTGGTATGAAGCGGCCGTGATGCTGCATGGATATATGAGTACACATATGCAGCCGTACCTTCGGTAGCGGTTATTGGCAAGATGCCTACAGGAAACTCGTCCAAAATTGATTCTAACACATTGAGAACGGAGGCTCTTTCTTCGCAGGATTTCGACCGTTCTTTCGCCATTTCTCACTATATAGCGCCCTACTAGCCTTTTAGGCAGAGCCCAAATCATCGTGCCAACTGCCTTTAAGGTAGCTGAATCTAGGAGCCAGAGACACCGTTCGGATTGCCGAATGGGCAGTGCCGGATAGCGATGTCATTTTGGGCATATCATCTCCTACGAGGCTGCTCTCTTCCCCTCCTGTCTTCTATGCACGAGGCAAAAAGGAGAGGGGTGATTCAGCGAAGAAGAGACGAGAAGGAGAGGGCGCGAAAATCGCGTCGTTCCCTAGCTCCATAACCGGCAACATCAAGCGATGTAACTAAAGGCGCGATGCTGTCAGTGTCGGTGAAAGGGCTACGGCGGTTTGGCCGCACCGCATTGCGCTCTCCAGCCAGTGACGTTGGCAGCAACCGCACGCCCCCAGCCGCCGTGCCCACTGCCTGTAAGGGAGGGAGATAGGGCACCAATGCCATCGTTACCAGGCTCGGCCACTGCTATGATCGAACATTGTGATTGAATGATGGTCAACTGTTATTCGAGTAAGTCAAAAACAGAATCGCTCACCTGAACTATAGAACACAGCAGGCCACCGCAGTGTGCTAGCGCAAAACTCGGCAGCTATCGGATTGCTGATGATTCCTAAAATGTACTGGGTTGTCATATGAGTGGTTTGATACAGAATATTAGACTTTGAGATGATTTTGCATGTGGGGAACCCTTACAACTGAGACGAAAAAAGAACATGAGGATAACACAAACTAGACAACAGTAAAACAATCAATTAGGAAAACTCTATGAACTCAATAGATCAGAGATCACGAGAGCCGATCAGGACAAGTAACCACTTTTCCTCGAATTACTCTTGAACGCACTGGGAGCTGTAACAGTCTAGCTGCCGTTTCAAACAAACGACTTCAGAATGTGCTATAATAAGACAGATACTTAAAGGCAATTCCCCTACCACACTTCATAGGTCATACAGTTCAAAAATAGAATTGCCTTGATTGTTCACTTATTGTAACCACGACGAGAAGGAACAGCGAAAAGCGCCACATATAACACCCTTCTGTATTTCAATTGATCATGATCACCGGACGATACACTGATAAGAGACGAGAGAGGCCAGAAAATGACGGGCGAGAGAGCGCAATGGCAATGTCACAACGACACGGTCACTGGAGGCCGGCATGGGCCTATTGGGCGCCAATGGGCCTAAAACATGAGCGCCGTGCGTTCTGCTTGCTGTTTTTCAACTTTTAAAGGCAACATAGGAATATCTCTACTGTTGCCTGCTTGTCATGATGCACGTCTAGAAGCGTTCTAGCCTTAGTTTATCGCGAACGTGCCTCTTGAATTACCAGTGGCATCTATTAACACATTGATGCTAGCCGGTGGATACGGATACAGTCTTGTCAGCCAACGACTGTCCGACTTCCGCCTCACTACTTAAACCGGTCAACGCTGGGATCGCGAGACGGAAACTCGCGGGAATTTGAAGGTCGGGACCAGTATCATGGTTGAGCTTTCCTATTTCTCCACTCTTACACGCCATTTCGACGCCCTATTGCGAGACGAGCTTGACATGACATAGTTTTCAGGTGAACGTGAGCAGGCTGATGCCCAGCATGGGAGCTTCTGGGTGATTCGGTAACCGTGCCTTTAGGCTGCGTTTTACTACTTTTGCGGCAGCGTAGCGTAGCGCTTCCAGCGTACGCCAGCGGCAGTGCCGGGGAGGATGCATATCGATCTAGCGTTCCCAGCGTCACCAGCGTCACGCTAGCGTACGCCAGCGTTTCTCCAGCGTTTCACCAGCGTTTTGCTAGCGTTTGCAGCGGCAGGGGAGTAGAGACTATGGGAGAGCTGGAGGGTACAAAACACATCGATTGCGCGTCTCTCACTCGCCCTTAGTCTCTACAATACACATCGCTTCTGCGTCTCCGACGGCCACATAGTCTCTACTATACACATCGATTCCGCGTCTCTGCCGGCCACATAGTCTCTACAATACACGTCGATTCCGCGTTCACGGCCACATAGTCTCTACTCCCTGCCGCTGCAAGCGCTAGCAAAACGCTGGTGCCGCTGGAGAAACGCTCGAGAAACGCTGGTGAAGCTAGATCGATATCTATCCTTTCCCCGGCACTGCCGCTGGCGTACGCTGGGCGCTACGCGCTACGCTGCGCTACGCTGCCGCAAAGTATAAACGCAGCCTTAACGCCTCAGCACGAATCATGATTATTCGTTTTGCCAGGGTCATATATGGTCTCATTGTCGCTTTGTGAGGTGGTTGAGGTGAAACTGTGGGTCGCAGGTGTTCAAGCTTGAAAACGAAAACCAAAGAGTCAATTCATCCGTGTGAGGACCGCAGACGACTGTCATTGTTTTCCAGGATTGAACTTCGGGAAGATCTTGGGATCGGCTCTGCGAGGCCAGCTAAAACCTCTACCCTTCGCGAACAGTAGCAGTTACAGACAGACTCATCTGACAGAATAAACAAACAATGAAGAGAATAGAAAATTTTGCTAGAACTGAAAATATGCTCATTCCTGAAGATAAAGTAATATTGAAACAATACAGAGAAGATATCACCCTCTTCAAGGCACACATACATATCTATCTCTCAAGCAAGAACGGATTCAGCTGAAGCTACGATTCTTAAGGACTGCAGTTTATAGAGGGATTTTTTACCAGTCCGAAAGTCTGTGCTTGCAAAAACAGTCTACCCGCCAGGTGCATTGCCAGAATATAGAGTGCTGCAGCTTTGGTGCTTTTTTCATGTTAGCGGTATCCATCCTAGCTAATCATGCGTTGATGCCGAGGGTATCATCATACCCTAAATTTTATTTTACAATGAAGACACAGTCCACGACAACCAAAATTGTATTTTGATTTTAATTCAATGAGATTTTACGTTCCGATCAATGAACAGAGCCCACGGAAGATTTCCCAACCCTATGGGAACCCCAACAAGCCATTTCATGAGTTCCTGGGCATAGAGTGTATGGTTGAACCACCGTAGCGTTACTGGAGGAGCCTCACTGAGAGATACGGAAGATCTCCGTACTCTTCTCAATGGATGCTCAATAGAAATTTGGCGCAATTTGTCTCACATCAGACAGTATTCATCGAAAGTTCCCATTGAGTGTGGATATGCCCCCTTCCCACCAGAAAAAGATCCGGAAAAGATCGGTATGTTTTAGACAGGAGACACAAGCAGTTAAAGGCAGCGTCCGCGATCAACCAAAGTGAAAAAACCCTCCAATGAAAACGAACGCGGAGTACGCAACCACAGCGGAAATCCCACTCTTGCGGCTCGAAATCGATTGGTTGACGAGGGCGGAGTCAACAAGGCTGAGCTGACGCCTCCTTCCCTGTTCTTAATCCCGCCCCGACTGGTTAACAGTTGTCAGTGCTTGCTGGCATTGATAAACGCTAAGTTTCTGGAGTTCCGAGGCGGCGACGTGTATTGGAGAACTCACCAAAGGTGTGCGAAACTCGTCCACATGCCTTAAACTTCGTAGGGTCTTATTTCACGCTCTTCCACACCTTTTTCCTACTTTTTTTGATTAGTGCTTCATTGGCCACCTGTTCTAACAAATTTGACCCCTGAGACCTGCCAAAGTCCATCGCGGGCGCTGTTTAAGAGAAGGACGGTCTCGTGTTCATCACTGGAATGTACATCAGCCAGTATACAGTCTTGTTCGCAGCGGACGGTGGGGCGTCCCAAGGGGGAGGAGGTGCTAGACCTGGCGCAAAACGCGTAGCCGCGTAGCTTACTCCCAACAATATTGGCCCATAGTCGTACCCCATTCCCCACTCCATCTGCACTCAACGCTGATGTAAAAGGGATAGCATAAACTCAATAAATTAACTCGACATATCCCCTCTTATTCAAAACTGGCAAGTTTGGGGTTTATTAGGCCTGTTTTAACGATACTATTCTGTGACGCAAAACTGTCAGATCTGTGGATTTGTGAACAGAAACATTTAGTGCAGAACTCACCTCTCCAACTCCCATGAGAAAACGCAAAACGATGACAGCGACCGGTCCTAGGTGTTCGGCCCATATCGGTACAAGCACGCTGACGCTGGAGAGTAAAAGCACGGACGCTAACAGAAGATGTCTCATACTGAAGTGATCGATGGCCATTCCACTTGGAAATATCGAGAGCATTCCACCTGAGATAAAAACGTTCTTAAATGGATACTAGCTAGCCTATATGTAGACAAGTCGGGCGTTTTGTAGCCGAAGAGGTATGGTCTTGTCGCTGCGGATGCTGGGGCGTGTCAGGAGGACTGGGTTCAGCGCGGCACCAGCCCGTTCTGCACCCAATTAAGGACACTGGCAAGCGACTATACTTGGTAGAAACAGGCTGATGCTGCTCCGACTCCGGCCCCTCAGCCGCGTCCCAGCATATACACAACCAGAACTGCAGTTCTTTCGACAATGTATTCTACCTATACTGCATTATGTTTTTAGGTTGGAGAATAAGTTCCCGCCATTTTTACATTATTTGTTTACCTCAACTAATTTCTGTGAGGCCAATAGTAATATATTATTTTGAAGCGGTTTATCTGGACTGCAAAGAGTCATAAATTTCCTTCCAATCAAAATGTTCTCATCGCTCCGTCGCGTTGCAGTGAGCTGCACGTAACGGGCTAATGGAAGCGTTTTCTGTGCTATCGCCTCGATAGCTCCCCCCGACGGCTACTGCGCATGGCGCTCGACTAGCTCGGCCGCCGGGCTCCTAGCCATAGCCAAAACTGCGGTTTTTGTTTGCGCCCTCGCTCATATTTGGTTGCTCTCCTACCGCGGACGTTGCCGGCCGGCCGCCGCTACGCTTAGATCGCTGCGACATGTTCGGTAATGCAGTGGCATCTGAGAAGTCGAAAAAACGCGCACCTTCGCGCGCCGCCCCTCTAGCTCGGTTCTCATGCAATATTCAAGACTGGAAAAGGAGAACGCTGCTGTTATCTTGGGGAGCCACTCATCCCGCATATGGCAGGGGTCGTCTTTGAATGTCATTTCACAGTTTGTCCTCAGGGAAATTTCTGGACTCTTCAGAAGAGGCAACAGCACCTACCTAGAAACGCTGCACCAACGATATATCCTTGCATTTCCACAGACCACACGTATGAACCCTAAAATCACACCTGTCATAGATTGTACGCCATATTCGCAATCACCCCCGTATACGGCCCGATAATCGACAACGCTTCGGCTCCTTTGACTCTCGTGCAACTCTCAGAAGATACGTTGATGCTCACCAGATCATCCATTGGACTTTCATCTCTGTAAAGGTAAAATAAACCGTTATTGATATTGGCGGGACTACGGCCAAAAAATCGTAATTTAGTCCCAGGCCTGCCTAGAAGTACAAGGACGAGGGGCAGGCGATGAAAGAAAAATGCAGATAGACAGTTTGGAACTCTATAGTCATAGGGAGATCGATCGAAATCGAAGGTTTTCGCGCGAGGGTGAAAAGGTTATGGACGCCCACCGAGTGTGTGTGCTGGCTGGCAAGAGCTTTTGACACATGGCGGCAAGGCCGCTGCGTGATCACTGAAGAAAAACGTTTGCGTCTGCGCGATACCAGTGGATACAAACGTACAGGCATAACCTCGCTGCGGGATGCTGAGGGGCATCGTTCAAATCGACCTAAGATTTGACTAAATGTGGGTAAGGCGTCTCCATCACTAGACAAAATTTCCCACTATTTGAAAAATATCCTTTCTCACCACCCTCCGCTCTGCGTGCCAGTTGAGCTAAGTTCGCGGGTGGAAGTGGCAGTCTTCACTGTACTCATTCTTCGACTCATATAAGCTTCTCATTGCGAGAAGCCTGAGAATGTGCGCTCTGAAACGCTCGCAGGAAATAGGCATGTTGGTTTGGAAAGAAGTAGCCCTACAACTCTCCACAATTGGCACTGAACCTACTGCCCATTCTCCCTGCCAACACACACTCTACTCAAAGGCAAACTGTAAACCAGGGCGCGTCCTGCTGCTGGGAAAAAGTTTTCGGAGAATACGACTTCCCCCTCCCCTCTGCATTCTACCTTCCACTTCCCTAGATTTTCCCAACTTCCTACCACTTTTCCCGGCAGTAGTGGGGAAAGCGGGAGATCAGCAGCAACAACTACCAGTTTCGACGATCAGAAATACTGGTTGGCTTTGGAAGGCCCCACTAACTAGGAGGGGGGGGGGAAGACCCCTCTCTCTTTCAGCCCTTCTTATAGCGTCCGTGAAACAAGGAAAACTGACTAACAAGAGAATTTTTCTCAAGCTATATACGACTCCGACGGCTCCTCTCCGACGTAAGGCGTACAGCGGTCCACTCACGTCCGTGGTTTCTTTCCCTTGCCACGGGGCAGCTGCTGCAGATCTTTCTTCGGTCAAAAATGCACGGTTTGGTGATACCCGGGCATCATCTTCTGACTTCACCCGCGCTATGCAACGCTTGCCTTGATCCTGAGATCACGCAGCGACACGCATGCAGAACAACCACAAAAGAAAGGGTGCAGACAAGAAGTCAGTTTAAGGTTAGGTGGCTAGCCGTGCGGCAGCGCGATCGAAGTATGAAGACGGCACTCGGGTATAACTACTAC